ACCGCGCACCAGCCCGGCCAAGCGTCTCCTCGCGAGCGCGCCGACGGGAACCAGCCTTGCGTGCCCCGCTGGGGCGTTGGGGGACTAGACACCTCTGTAAATCTGGCTTCAGCGCTGCGAGCAGAATGCTTCCCCCCCCACCCCGAGGAAAGCAGAGTCACTCCTAATCAAAACGCAAGATTTCTGGAGGTCAACAGCTACCAAGTGCGTCTGATGATCGTAAAACGAGCGAGCGACTCACCCTCCACTCACAGCGGTGCAAAACGGGCGACGCAGGGCTCGCCGACACCCCAGACGAGGCTCACAGGCGCCGAAAAACCAGCGGCCCCTTCCCCTCTGCGTACAAATCAAGCGGCTCCACAAGCTCCTCCGCAGCAGTGGCTTTTTAATGAGCCACCTAGCACACCTCTGCTCCTGCCCTGTGCCACCTCCTCCACCTCCTCTGCAAGTCTCTTGGTCTGGAAATCATGGCTCATCTTCCTTAAACACAGATATCCATCTCTTTTCCAGCCAGGCTTGAAACAATTTCTTCCCACACCTAGTAATAATTCTCCCTTTTTAACAAGTCTGTGTCTGATAAGCAGGAGACACGGTTCAGCTTGCTCAGCAGAACACTTCCAAAATTTATAAAACAGCACATTTCCAGTATTTTTAGGTCTTCCATCTATTTAAAAAAAACAACAACAAATCTAAATGTCTGCCGCTCTCCAAGCTCTTTGCACTCCTTCGAGACGTGCACAGCCCCTCCCTGCAAGTTTTTAGCCCCAAATGCTGCGCTGGATTTGGTCTTTACTTTAATGCCCGTTTGTCCTGGTGGGACTAGCCCAGTTGCAAGCAGCATGACTGCAAACCTGCACTACTTGTTAGTTTTTTTACTTACAGCTTTAAAGCTTAATTATAATGATTTGGAGTTCAACATGAAAAAGAAACGGTATCTGGCACATCTCCCAGTGTATGTTGTGCATGAAACACTCATAATTAGCACCAGACAGGACACATCTGCTCAAACAAAGCAAGTTGTATGTGGCTCTCATTTACACCAGCATGATCCATCCCAAAGACTTTTACCCTGCCACCCACTCGGGTGTCTGCGCCGGCTTTGAGCATCGCTGCTCTTAGCCAGATCCTTCAGCCTGCTAAAACCAAGCCAAGCTGCAGAAGGTGGCTCCAAGCCCGGGAGCAGCTTTCGCTCAGGGGGTGTTGGACGCCTCCTCCAGGGAGCTGCCCCGTGCAGCTACCGAAACGGCTTCGGGGACACCCTGGGGGCGAACCCTCAAGTTGCAGCACAGGGAACTTGAAACTCTGCAGCTCGTCTCTTATTTAAGTTCACCACGTTTTCACTGCTCCTACCCGGCTGCCCGCTCCTCCCCGAATTCACTCCTCCGGCAGCGCTGACGCTGCACGCCTGGCGCTGGAGGGAAGCGCCCTGGGGAAACACCCTCGTTCTCCCACCCCGCGGGGCGGAGAGGATTGCTCTCCCGACTTTCCTGGAATGAGGGGGTTGCATCAGAGCTCGCCTGGTTTTCAGCCTTTTTGTATATCTACGAGGCAATAAAATTAACTTCTCGCCTGTCAGTAATAAGCAACAGACCTATTGTTAGCAGTGCTATTAATATCAGTTCAGGTTTTATTCTCTCAAGCCGCTAACTGAAAACAATCACTACTGCAAAGATAAACACAAACCCCGATAGCTACAAGTCTCCCTGCCCTTCCGGTGCTCCTCCTTCAGTGTCTCTACCTTAACCCTGATCCACCTCCACGCTCTGCACTTCCCTCCATCCTTTATCATTACAGAGGTCCAAATCCCTCCTTCCGTTCACTCTGGCCCACACTCCTCTTAAGGTTTTTGACCCTGCAAGAGTCGCTCAGGTCTGTTCTTCCCAGATGTGCTGTGCTGAGCTCCAACTGCCTTGCAAACACCCCTTGTTTGCCTTCTCTTTTTGCTGGAGGATCTTCTCAGCCAAGGACAAGCCCTCACCACCTGGCTCGCTCCCTGAGGGCATATCTCCTGGCTAACACCCCTGGTCACCCCAGACACCGCCAGCACCTCACGCATCTTTTTGAAAGTGCTCCCACTTAAACCCCTTTGAGTCTGGGTTTCCCTCTTGGACACAGCCTTGCTGCAAGCTCTCCCCACATGACTTTCCTGCTTTCCATCTCACTCATCTTCCAGCCGTCACCTTCTGCTGGCTGTGCCTCCCTCCAGAGCCTGACTCCCTGCCCTCGCCTCCTCGCACACAGCACCGAGTGCCAACAGCCAACGATTGCCCAGTGAACTCAACCTGTGGCAGACCTGATGCTGCCTGTCCCGCTGCCACCCCACAGGCCACCAGGGCCCACAGCAGGGTACCCACTGCCATCCTGATCCTGCCATGCTGCGGGCAGCCTGCACCTCTGCACTCCAAAAACGCGGCCCGCTTTTCCTCCTCGCTTTGCTGCTCCTAGGGAAGCAAAGTCACTCTGCCATCCCCAATGCACAACCAAGCTGTACAGTGGTACACCCCATCCCACCTCCTCGTGGAAAATGCCAGCGCAGCCTGTGCTCAGCTCCCTGAAACACAGGGACACCCCTGGCCACTGAAGGGACCACTAAAGCTCCCTCCTCCCACACACCATGTATTTGGACACCTCCCAATGGTTATCGGGTGTTCAGTATATTGGTATTCAGACACCTCCATGCCTCTCACTCCCAAAGAGCCTTCACACTCGCATCCTTTGCCAAAACAGGGTTCAGGTCTACTTGGTTTTGGGTAAAGCAATAGCAGCTGTTACTAATCCCAGTCTTCTCCAATCTCAGCATCCAGCCTCTTTGCAATGCTCTGTCTTCTCCCCCAGACACCTCCTTGCAAGGTGACTCCCTTGCATGCTGAAGGGGAAGCCCTGGGAGAGCAGGGCACGCCAAGCAGCCCGTACACACCACTACCACATGAAACCACCTTGCTCAGCTCCTTTAGACTTCCAGTCATTCAGATCAGAGTTTGGGCTTCAGCAATGCATAGGTAAAAGCGGTAATAAAGCACAAAATGGTTGTGACTTGTGTAACAAGCAAAGCAATTTGGGCTTGTTCACGCTTCACAGATTTAGTGAAACTGCCCTGCTTCCTATAGTGTCTTCTGCCTTCATCTCCAGGGTGACCAGTGTTATGGCCTGGGGGAGACAGCACCCAGATGCTAGAGACAAGCTCCAGAAAGCAACACCTTTCTCTGAAAAGGGCCATTCAAAGTATCACCACTGTTTATCATACAATTAGGCTTCAGCTAACATATGACCATGAGTCACAGGACAAATTAAGGCAGATATAGGAACACCAGCATAAGTTTGGCATGAGGAGGTTAGCTTTGCCTACAAGCACAGAAGAGAAATGTCCCAGTGGGATAAACAAGACTTACAGAACGCGTTGGAAGATAAAGCAAAGCCAGGGCTCCCTTATCTCTTACCTCCTTAAAGTTATTTCAAATATCTGGGATGCCAAGAGGCCAGCCACTCTATCTTATCTTTCTACACTCCTCTGTGGGTTGTCTGACTTTCAACAACATCGTTTCTCCATACCTTGGCAACAAACTATACCAACTTACTAACCAGTAACTTGAAGCACACAGCTGTCTACCAACTCGGGTTTCACCACTAGGAAGCTTCCTGGTCCAGTGAGACCATCACTGGAGACATTTCATTGTGCACAGAAAGAGCCCCAAAAAATCCACACAGAAGGGGAAAAAACCTCGAAGGGTTCAACACTGCTCCTCAGATGATAGCACATGGAACCTGAAAGCACACCCAACAGTGGTGCCTTTCTGCTCCAAATTTAGGGCTGATTCCCAGCTTCTGAGAACCAAAGGAGAACGTTCTTCCAACCCACCTACCATGCTCCCACAGCACAGGCTGCCCTCGCACATCATCCCCCTTCCTTCCTCCCCATGGGCAGTGGCTCGCCACATCCTCCTGCTGCTGGGGACATCCTGGAGCAGCAGCCCTGCACTCCCGTCCACAGGCTCACAGGACTTGGGTATGGCCATCAAAGCTGATCCCACACATCATCTCTCCTGGCAGTCCTCTCCCAGCAGGAGCTGCTCAGCTCTCCCCCAACGCAGCCGACAAAGATGGTGGGTGAAAACAAGCTCAATTTATTTTTACTGCAAATTCTTCACCACCCTTTTGTGAATAAAGGACCAGTGGGTGGATGGGTGGAAAGATTGGAGCCAAAAGTGATAGCAGAGAAGACTGCTAGAAGACTGAGGGGGAAAGTGGGTGTGGGGGGAAAACAGACCTCAGCCTTTTCCATCATCACAAGTCCTATGTGATCCAATATAACCGGTTCCTACAGCTTTTTCATGTCTCTGCAGAGTTCAATGCTGAAAACTAGCATTTAACAGCTGTGCTTTGCTCTTTCTAGTACCTCAGTACCATGACAGAAAACATACATTCTAGGAGATACTGCTGAAGTCCATTGTTTTCAATTAAATTCCTCCTGGACTTTCACAAGAGCAAACAAAGCTCCACCACCCTAAAAGTGGATGACCACGCTCTACAAGAGTGCCAGTGGCCATGGTAGCCCCATACGCTGCCCAGGATCCAGCCAGGACCCCCACAGGACCCCCACGCTGGAGCAGGGAGCTGGTCCAGGGCCTCAGTGAGATGGGAACTCATTGCTTGCCTTGCAGGAGGTAGGTTGGCTCCTGGAACCACTACCAAGTGCTGGTGCTAATTTTGTGTGGGTCTAGGTACCCTCCCACTGGAGGACATTTTCAGTGGGAGCT